TTTTTGTTGTTGTTGTATGCAGTTTCCAGCAAACTTTAATTAATTTTTTTCTATTTGTGAAAATTTCTACGTTATTTAAAGGTAATTTTTATTATAGGCCTATAGACCTTACACAGCATTATTAATATGATTTTGGAGGTTACAGAACTTTAAAATTACTTTAAAAAATGGAAAATAATTATATCATTTGATTTCAAGATATTTTGTATACCTTAAAAATAATTAATTCTATCCCGGGAAACAGTTCACTTTTATCCCGGGATCCCGGGACAAGCAAAAGACCGGGAAATGAGAAACCCTAGTTATTAGAAAGTAAATAATTTGATTAAAACAATTTTTCTTAGATTACACAGTTTCACATTATTTTTTTAATGTTTTAAATACAGTAATAAAATGTATGTATTCACTTAAAAATTGAATTAATATTATGCTATAAACTGGTATGATATGAATTGTTAGGACAAACTTCTGGCAAATTTTTAAATATGACTGCGAAAAATATTGTTTATTTACCGGATATTAAATTTCTCTTGTAAAAATAATACTAACGGATTGAAACTGAAAAGTAATGTTAAATAATTTAACTTTAGAATATAGATATGTGAACTTTAAAAAATTCAACTGTAGTTTGATTCAAGAAATAATTATCTTTGTTTTTTTTTAAATTCATTACATCATTCAAAGAGTAAACTGAATTTTGTGTGATAATAAAACATTCTAGAAAATCTTATCCGTTGTTTAAACTTGGCAGCGTCGAAAAGTAATTTGCTTTAATATCGATTTCAGAAGTTTCAAATCAAATATTGGATCAACAAAGTTTTATCGATGTTGCTCGATATGTAGCCTGACCTGATGAGTATTGGATATAGCTCATTTTCTCAATGAATACTCAATTTCAAATCAGCTTTCGAAGTGAAAAAATTGTTAAAGAATACAGGGGTGGAAATTGTAATTTACCATACACAGTGGAACCTCGTTGCATTGTTCCCGTTACCTTCGTTTTTTCACATATATTTTGTCTGACTTATTTGATACCAGAAATAGCTCCATATAAATAACGCTATTTTTTTTTATCCCCTTCATCAGTCCGCGAACTATCTTTTTTATCGCGTTGATCATCGAAAAATCACTGTTTTGATAAGCATTTTCTCACATTGATAATTTTTTTTAATTTGAAACGATGTTTTAATAGCTCGATGGAACGAAGAGTGATAATCTTGAACGAGTTCAAAAAATTGACGCTTTCCGTGTGCGCGACTTTTAGTATCACCTGGATTGCTTGTTGAGAGTTGCCTGTCAGATCATTTGTCTTCAGCTTTCCATCATATTGTTGGAAGTATATTTAACTCACAAACAAATACCAGAATGAGTAAATTGTTCTAATTTCTATCATTTTGGTTTACTGCGAGATAGAGATGTTTGTATAGTCTTTCGCAGAACTGTTCGAGTGCCTCCAGGCGTCCTGAAATATGGAGGAGGGAGAATAATAATAATAATGTGGTAAACTGAAGTTGGGCCAAACTTTGATTAGCCGCATTAAGCTTTGATGAAAGTAAAATCTTTCTTATGTGTACAATACCCTGACAGTGAAAGTATTCTAGGCCGTAAAAAATCATACTCCGAATTGAAGCGTACAGTTTTCACAAAAGAAAATGTTACAATATTTCAGTATATCTAAAATACTGTATCATATATTTTAAAGAATAGTGGCCATTAGGCTGTTCTTATTTTTTTTTATGTAATTTTTTATAGTTTTTCAGAACCCTATTTATCGTTTTTGTTTATTTCTTCCAAAAATGATGCATCGAGGTTTTAGTGTAAAAATTTTTATTACATGACAGAATATTGCGTCATTCATTATCACTTTCATAATTATATATTTATAATCATTTAATATATAGATTAATAATATATTTTCATATTTGTTTAGCTTTTTTTGTGTTTGGTTTAATATCTGCTTTGGATATAGGAAGTTTTCTCTTCCTGCTATTACTTTAAGTAGACGTTACTTATTCGTTATTCCCAACCTTCTTTTGTTGTGATGTCTACGATTGGTTATTTACCGTACACGAATAAATAAAATGGCTTTCACCTGTTCGAATACCTTATTCTTTATCATTAAATATCGCACATTAGATCGAAACCATAATCTTTCTTTTACGACTGAATTGGGTTGCATAAAATATAACTATCATTATCTGAAGTGATTTTATAAGTAACTCATTTATTTAATTAAGAAAATTTATTTTTAATGTGAATATTTTAATAATTATTGTAGGCACACATTTATATAATCAATATTTTCGAAATGGCGGTATTAGATTTAACAATATTGTGAAGTATTTTACTGTTGCTGTAGATTCTCTGTGAAATTTTTCTTATTTTTTATGGAATTAGTTTATAAATTACTTTTATTTTATCTCCTTTAAAATGTCAAATGATCGGTCAGTAACATTATAAAAGATAATGCTGTATATCAAAATTAAGTTAATTTTAAATCTTCATTTCTGTGTTATTGTTTCGCTTATCTCTTAACGAAATAAAAGAATAGTAAAATTTTTTATTTAATCTCTAGCAGTTCCCTCTAATTTTAACCAACGATAGGTAACGAATCATTAATTTGGGATAGAATTCTCTAGTCAAGCTAGTTCTTGTTGATTAAAATCTTATCGGTCTGCTTGTCTCTGAATATTGATTAAGTAGAAACTTTAATTAAGGGCGATTCACATTAAATTCGAATATTTGATGTATCATAGTGTCTGAACTCGTTGCTTGTCTATTGTTTCTCAGACGTATGGAAATTTTGTTTATTTGTTAGGTTTTATATATGTATTATCATCATAAATTTACAAGATGATAAAATTTTAAATGTCACTTGATGTATAGCAGTGTTTTTTCATCTCCATCTTAAAAACAACAAAACGAACTTCAAACATTATTAAAATTACAGTATTTAATCTGATATATATATATATAATTAAAATAATTATAAATTTTCATTTAAGAAAAATTTATTCCAATATAAAACACTAACAACTAATTCCATGATAAACTTCTTTATACACATACACAAACTAATTCCATATTTCTGCGATCTGTTAATATAAATACTGTACTCGATTGTCATAGCCTCCATTCATGTAGTTTTCCCAAACAATAAAATGAACTTGTTCGTTGCAATGGAAATAACAGCCATGTCTCCTTTAGATATCTGTACCAGCTGCCTGGTTATCTGATCACGATGATCTGTGTTCACATGCCTGGAAGTGAATAACTAAGAGAAAATCGAAGAGAATATTTTGTGAGAATGGAAACAAAATGAAACGTGTGTTAGAATTAATTCTAGATAATTTTTAGTGAGGAAATAGCGCGACGTTTCCGATATTCTGTTTATTATTTTTGATAAAATGAAGAGCTCATTATTTCTCTAATGATGTGTCAGGGAACATAAGTTTGTTTTATGACACATTATTAAAATATTTAATATGAAATGTCATAAAACAAACATATTTTTAATAATTATGTATGGATTATTAAATAACTTTTTAAAGAGATTTTATTGTCCTTTTTACAAGGTAAGAATATGTTGAATATTTCACTACTTTTATCATAGACTTTTTTATCTTTCAAAATGCAGGTTTTTGCAGGTTTACTACATGATTTTACTATTAGACATCTTAGTTATTTATGGAATTTATCTTTTTATAATTCAGTTTGAGTGAAGATAAATGTCTGATTTCATTTTTCTCTGTATTATATAGACAATATCTTACTGAGTATCAAATTTCCGTTTTCAGTTTTTATTTCTTGCATTCGATTATTTAAATAATTCATCTAGATAATTTTCTTTAATGACCCACGCTCACGAATTCTTAAATCTGCTAGTGACAGTGCTTAAAGCATTTTCTAGATAAAATTTTTATACGTATTCATGAGAAATTATTAACTCCTTTCTTAAAACTTTTATTGTTATAATATTTCATTCTGAAGAATTGACGTTAAATGTATTTTGTCTTTGAATAAATTAAGGACCCTATCTAAAAATTAATGAAATCAAATTTTTTTTTTTTTTAAAAAAGGAAGAAAAAACTTCTATTCATTTATTTAAAATGCTGACAGTTGCATATTTGCCTTATAGAAAAGCTGATTAATTTCTTTTACTAATTAGATTTCTTCTACTGTCTTTACAAATATACCTTACCTAATCCACCTGAAAAAAGTTTGCTAATATGATTAAATGAAAATCGATTTTGATATTTCTGCATTTAATTTCGACCAGTTAATAATTATTTTCCGTTAGATTAAATTATTATTTTTTTTAATGTATAAGATTTTCACGGTACTTTTTAGATTCAGTTAATGGAATTATCATCATACTTCCTAAAACTATGTAAGTAGAATGTGTTTTTTCGTTTATGGTGATTATAAATCTTAATGAAATTAATTCTATGAAATATTTTCCATAAAAAATCAATTTGAAGGATAAATCTGGTGTAAATACATATTTGAAAGATTTGGAAATTAGGTTATTTATTCTGACCGCGTTTGAATATTCAGCACAAAGAAAAAAGTGCGCCGCATTTATTTTATAGGAGGACATTAATCCATTCATACACTCTGACAGACTTCCGGTCCTCTATTCCACCCCTCGATCGGTGTCTGGGAAGTTTATAATGTTTCGCTGTTCGTACACACGTTTAAATCTTGTAGAGAAATTTGTTTATAAATTACGAATTTTACAAATTTAATTTTAATTAAAATGTTTACTTACATTAACATTTAACATAGCTCATTTAGAAATTTTAAATAACATATCTTAAATTATTTGTGCATTAATACTGTTATAAGATGACTACGAATTTATTTTATTTTAAAATGCTTTAAGATTTCGACGAGTTATGATAATTTTATTTTATAATTTCAATATATATCGTTTTTTCATAAAAATTGTATTTTAAAACTAAATATTTTATTTATTTATTTATTTTTTTGGTCTTCAGGTTATCAAGTTAATAAGCGATTGGTGACTATCTGTTGATTGTCAAATTCCTATCCGTGAGAAGTGGACGGGAATCTTTAAGCATGAGTGACACGCTTGACATTGGTAGGTATCGAACATTCTACGGTTATTGTTTCTTGAAAGGAATGATGGTCCAGGTGGAAATCGATCGGAGACAACCCTTTCTCCCCAAGGAATGACTTTCTATACTTTATTCTTGCTCTTGGGAAAAGTGGAAAATAAAGTGAAGCGGTGTCGCTCTGGTTAGTTATCGATTCATTTCAAGAAACAATGAACTCGCCCATTGGATCTCTTGATAGTAAAAGCCTTTAGGCATTGTCTGTATTTTTCTGTTTATTATAATATATAGAATATAAAATGGCCGAAATAAATGATTTGGCGACTGAATTGGGTTGCATAAAATATAACTATCATTATCTGAAGTGATTTTATAAGTAACTCATTTATTTAATTAAGAAAATTTATTTTTAATGTNTAGAATTCCATGATAAAAACTTCCGTTGTTAACGTGGTAGACATTTTAGTTTTTCTTCTAAATTTTGTGAAGTTTTTAAATATATTTATTGTCCTGGAAGATTTTTATTAATAGTTAATTTTGGTAAGTAATTTAAAGTTATTTTTAGTTTGATTTAAATATCTTAAATTTCCTTATTTTAATTAGGAATTTTTTGTAACCAAAATAATTTGCCCGGTTACGTTAACTCGTCATGATGAATCCAACTTAAAATTCAATTGGAAACGAATTTTCAGGATTGATTCAAATAAAACTGTTTTTTCTGTTCGTCGCCTATCTTGGCCGACATATTTAAGTTTGGTCCGTCTGTAATGGTCGAAGTACAGAGACTCGCAATATTATGTTTATATTCTTCGCGTCAGCAAATTGGTCATGAAAAAGTGGGAATTTACCGGTCAATTTTCAGTTCAGATTCAACGAAAACTATTCGGCTATATATACTATCCTTTGGCACTTCTGAATTCGCCACTGGATTCGCATAGTGAGGTAAACTCTACCACCGTGATGAACAGGTGATGGAATCCGATCAGGATATTCGTAATTTAACACACATATCGCGGATTAGAATGTTACTCTCCTTTTTTTTCATTTATGCTGGTCATCTTTTTTTGCTGGGAAGGTCCATTCCATAATGGTAAAATTATAGTTGGAAATGTAATCTTGGTGTGTCTCATATTAGTAGAAAATCAACGAAAACATTAGAAAAACTACAACCTGGTTCTCTTTACTTGTTTTCTAACTTTATTAAGTTGAAATATAAGTATTCAATCTTTTATGTTATTTTTTTATAATATATGAATTTTGAATTTAGAGAACTAAACTAACATGTCGTTAATGTTAGTTTAGTTCTCTAAATTCATAATTATGTAAAATTTTGTATGTAATTTTTTCATAAACTATTTTTATAATGCTTTAATGTTGAATGTATTTTATTAATTTTTATTCATTAATTTTGAAATTAAAATAAATTATATGTTTATTAATAGTGGTTTCAACACCGAATTTATGGGAAAAAGAAAACTATAATTTTTTTCGCAAATTACAAATTAGGTTTTGCGATTTGAACATTTTAATTTTAAAAAGGCGTCAAAATTAGTTTTAAACTGAATAAGTAATGTGATGTATTGTGTTTATAATAAATTTTATACTGAAAAAAAATATACAATTTGTTTTCATTTTTAAAACATGATAATGAATGTGTAGGTTAGTTTGGCAAATTAAAATAAGGGAAATGAGCAAGGTCATGCCGAGATTTAGTAAAATATTAAGTAATTAATAATAATTACTATACTGCCACGTTTATAAGAAATTGATGTGTTTTTTTATTATTAATAAAAATTCTGGAAGATTTTACATTACTAATAAAAATTAATTATTATTTTTAAATGATTGCAGTTGTTTTATCGACCCAAAATATTAAATAGAAATTTGGTCGTTGAAGCATTCCATTTATAAACTATATAAAATTTTAATGTGATGATATCGGAAATGAAAATATGGTGATAACAACGAATTTTTTGTCATTTTTCCAAAAAAAAAGACATCCACGAAATTCTAATTTTGGTTATTAGTAGGGTTTCTCAAACGGGATTCCGGGATCCCGGTTGTTTTTTTAACCCGGGAAATTTTTGTTATCCCGGGAAATCCCGCAAATTTCTTAAAAATTCACTTTTTTTCTTATTTTGTGTTAAGGTTGAGGAATTTTGCAAATAGAAAGCATAATTAACTCATTCACTGTCAGAATACATTTGTATTTATTAATTTTAAACCTACCTATTAGTTTTTTTTAAATTTTTGCTCGTTATAGCATGTCACAAATGGTCAATAATCAATATATAGCTTATTTGTGGCATGACTATAAAAATTCTTTACTTGTCGGAACCTGTAATATCTGGAATAATTGTGCTTACGCTGTCTTGAGTTTTAACCATGCCC